AGATGGAGAGCTATATTTTTGGGATTCACACAATACAGGATATTGGTCTGATTACCTGGAACCTGTGGTCTACTTACCAATGACAGAGTCCTTAAAGAACTGACTAGAAAAAGGAAATTCAGATGTAACAGTCATCAGAAGTTTTTAGTTGCTTCCTCTGAATTCCTTGAAGAACACAAACCCTATCATAAGCTGCATAAACTCATCAGTATGACTCAGGTCAGAGGAGAGATGATTACAATAGAAGCCAAAAGGAGTACTCTTTTCCTAATGGAACCATGTAGAACAAGAAGAAAGCAGAAGCCCACCCAGCTTGAGAGGCCACCAAATAAATACTGGCAATTCATGTTGCAACAGATATTAAAATCCACCTGCTCACTTGTCCAACTGCCAAAAGAGTGGGACAAATTACTAATGTTCATGAAATTTCTAACTTTAAATGATATAAGACACAGAGACGGAGTATGATGGTCCATACATAAGTTTACTCAGCAAAAGTCTCATAATAAATTCCTAAGGCAAATTATATTCACATAAACTACAGAAATAAGTAATTCAGAGTACAGAACTCGATGATGCAGCATACGAGAAAATCATGCCAATTTAAAACTATATGGCTTTGGGTTTGATGATAAGTGATCATTTTGGGGGATCCTGGCAGACCCTTTAAGACAACACAAACTCAACTTGCAACAGGATAAAAGATGATCTTTTACAAGAGCCTCTCTGGGACTTAACTCATAATGGAGGAAGAAGTTCCACTCCAGGGCAGGGCCATAGGAAGGGATCATAAAAATGACGATAGTTAACATTTATTGATCACTTACTAAGTGCCAGGCACTTTGCCAAACACATAAGCATTATATCATGAAATCCCTCCAACAGCTGTGTAAATAAGCACTATTGTTATTTGAGTTTTACAGGTGAAGGAAGTGAGGTTTAAAGGCATTAGATAAATTGAACAAGGTTGCATAGCCAACGAATAACAGAACCAAGACTCAATACCAGCTGCCTGCCTCCAGAGCCCAAGATCAGATGTTGCCAAAGAAGCCCCCCCTCTGCCCCCAAGATTGATGGAAATGCATTAAGTCCATTAAACTCCTCTCTCACCGGACCAAAATTGTTAGGTGACAATTTCTCTTTCCTGCAACTGATACATTATTATCATCTTCCTTTATGGCTGTCTCTAGTACTCAACTTCAATTTGCTTTAATACTTACAATGAACTTAATAGGTACCATGTATAGAAACCTGATGGAAGCCAAGTCTCCTGGAAAAATCCTGATGAACAGAATCAAGGGGAGGAATGTGACAGAGAATACCACTGTTCTGCATATCTGCCTCTTCCTTGTAGGCCCTATTCACATTGGAAATGTGAAATCATATGTTTAGATTATATGAATGTTAGTTTAAAATGGTAATTTGTTTTTACGGATAAACGGCATGCAAAACTGAGTCTTGTCCATTTTTTATTCTGAGCTAATTGCAAGTGTGGCAAACCATTATTTTGGAAGACAATTCATGCTAGGGCAGTGATTCTCAAACTTGAGGGTCCCTCACAATCACCTGAAGGGTCTGTTAAAATACAGATTGATGGACCTTGACTGTAACCCAGAGCTTCTGAGTCAGGAGATCTGAGTTGTAGCTTGAAAATTCGCAAATCTAGTGAATTTAATCACCATTCTAATGAGTTCTCTTACTTTCCCTCATTTCTGAAGAATATCCAGTCACAATCAGGATCTTGTGACCTGACTTCCAGATGATCCAGTTTGCAGGGAAAAACAGGCCATGATGCTCATGCTGCTGGTCTTGGGATTACACTTCAAAAACTACTGCTCTAAAATGAAGATTTTCAATTAAAACTGTATATAAGAATTGCCTAGTATATATGTATATGTATGTATATATGTGTATATATAGATATATATGTGATATAGCTGTACATATTTAATGGTAATACATGAAGCCTAACTGCAGACCAATTAAATCAGAATCACTGGAGCTGAAATTCAGACATTAGTATTGTTAACTCCCCCTTTCCCATCCTGCAGTGATTAATCTAATGTGTAGCCTGGAATGAGACCACAGAGAGTAAATTATTTTGTGTATCAGACACAGAGAATTGAGGGGTTTGTGTGTGAGAGGGTAAGATAGGTAAAACCAATATTTAAAATTTGATTCTGAAATATCTGTAAATGGAACCTATTGGAGGAATATGAGAATAATAAGGCCTGAATATCAAATCATTGTGAAATTTTTACATATCTTAATCATAAGATGATAGCTAGTATAACAGTTCACTTGTTTATTCAAATAGTGGGTATTTGAATAAAAAATGCATTTCTAAAGAGAAATAGAATAGAAAATAGATTACAGAGAATGTGATAAGGAAACTGAGTTTTATCAGCTGAAACTAGAATAGTGTATCGTGTGTGTGTGTGTGTGTATAAGAGAGATTCAGTGAGACAGAAAGGAATTACATGCACATCTAAATGCCCAAAGTAAAACCTCTTAATGGCTCTGTATACCTATTATTACTTCTCCACTTCAGGAAAGTTTATGTTGTTAATGAAATTGATTTACTCTTATCAATTCCAGAAGTTTCACTTTGGTTTGATTCCTGCTTAGCAACACATTTGTTTCTCTTACATTTTTGATTTCTTAAACATTTTTTAACAACATCGTTGGTGTACATATGTATTAGTTCCCTAATTAAATAATTTATCATATGTCTTAAGGACTTGCAATAAGCATTTTCTTCCAAACTGGAACAAATAAATTCAGAAAAACCATTAAGGGCTCAAGGAATTTAAAAAATACGTACATATCCCCAAAACAGCTCTGGTGAGATGATCTCCTCCCTTAAATTACCAAATGTTTGAATTAAACCCATTTTTCTTCTTTTCTTTTTTTTTTAATTTAAAAATTATTGACAGAAGTGGAACCTATATTCCACTATAGCCCTAGCACTATATTCTGGGCACTAAGGAAGTCAGAGTGGACAAGATAGGAACTATCTATTCTGTTGGGGGGGGGAACTATTAGAAAGGTGATTAAATTCACTAGATATGCGAATTTTCAAGCTACAACACAGATCTATAATAAATATTAAATAAGTTGAAGTAAGAGAAAGTAACTGAGGATTTACTTCAGACTGAGTTGTCCAGGAAGACCCATTAAGGAGGGGACATTTATGCTCAGACCTGAGTGACAAGGAGTCAGTTTTGCTCAGGAAAAAGCATTAGAGGCAGAGGCATTAGAGTATCCTGAGATGGATGTGAGTCAGCTTCATTGGAGAAACAGAGAAAAGATATGGGCTAGAGTATAATGCAAGAGGAAAGAAGTGGTAGAAGGTATTTTGAAAACACAAAGCTTCCAGTGCCTGTTAGACACCAAAAGGAGGTGACAAGCAGGCAAATACTTTTCAAACTTAACATGCCCATGAGTCCTATGAGGACACTGATAAAATGGATAAAATGCAGATGCGAATGCAACAGGTCTGAGGTGGAGCTCAAGACCCTGAAATTCTTAAAATATCCCAGGATAATGATCCTTCTGGGCCTGGACCAAATGTTGAATAGTGAAAATGTATTTATGAGTATTTGTGTATTTGTGAGTCTGTAGCATGAGCGAAAAGGAGAAAGCCAAAATTTTAAAAATGTAGAGAGAAGCAGCCAGAGAGGTAAAACATGGGGAGAGAAAGTAAAAAGTATTTGAAGCAGGTGGGAATGTGTCCCAGGTTGGGTGGCAAAGGTGGCTTAAGGTCAGATCAGTGTACTTAGATTTAGTACAGAACAGCCACTGGAAAACTTTTATAGAGTAAGTTAACTTCTAATGGTGCTCTGCTATGTTACTACCCATCCCCAAGTGATGGACTTCAGATTTTACTATTCTTCTGAGTCCTCACTCCACCCCCCTCTCTAATGCCTGAAGATCTCACTTCCTACCTCATTGGGGGAAAAATAGAGACCAATTAGCAGCATTAACTCCATTCATCTTAAAATATATTTATTTCAAATTAACAAAAAGAAAAAGTTCCAGTTTCCATCCCTTTCTCCCATCTCAGAGTGGTTAGAAATAGGATCCATTCTTGGAGTTGTTCCCTGAGGTTTTCTTTGCAGATCACCAGTGATTCCATTTGGTCTATACAGTGGGTCTATTCCTGTGGGAATGGGGTGTGTAATGAGTCCTACTCACTGGACTCTGAGGGGGAGTTTGAAATAGGGTGGAGGACAAACTTCCTTGATTAAAAAGGACCCTGGAGAAGACAAAAGCCCTACAGCTGCTGAGCACTAGAATGTGAAGGCTGAGAGTACCCACAGCCTTGCACCCATGAGGAGCTAGGGTCTAAAGGTGACCCCATACCTTGAGGTTAGACAAGAAGGAAAATGGAGAGAAAATGTTAACTTGTAACACGATTGAGCCATTGAGTTAAACAGCGGTGGAAAATCATTTTTTTTCCTGAATATTTGGCACATAAAAGAAGTTTTATTGTGCTTAAGCCTAGTGAGTTTTCTGTTACTGGTGCACCCTATCACAGCAGAATCTATCCTCTGTTCAGCCATTCAAGTGTGAGGAAAAGATTTCTCACCTCTGCCCCTCTGTCTCTTTCTAATTCTCCCATTCTCCTTCCCTCACTCCATGCCTACATTCCCCCATCTCTGTCTCTCTTACTTTCCAGTCCCTTCCTCCCTATCTTTATATCTCTAAAACTATTCTTTTAACTCTTGGGACTGTCCCATACAAGTACAAAACCCATATCTTCAGTCCACAAAAGCAAAATGGTCATTGGCATATATAGCAGTCCTTCTCCTGTATATTTCTTCAATTCAGATTTCTGACTGGTTCCCAGTCCTTAGTTTTATTTCTTCATAACAATTGTGACAAAGATGATATCTGTGACTTATTTTCTCTGTGCTAAATAGTCTATGACTAATATTTGGAGTTAATCACTTAGAAGACACAGAATGTACATATGTAGAAATTAATAACCATATAAGTACAGTTAAAAGGACATTTATTAAATGTTGTAGTGATCATAATGAATAATATCACAATGACATCTGAATTTTCCCAGAAAGTCATAGCCAGATTTCATTCATTTGCTTTGTGAATTTTAGGAATGCAGGATTCTAAAATTGTTATTTTTCAGAGAACGTAGTCTTAAAATGTTTGTCTATAATAGGTCATCAACACACACACAATAAAAATGCATTACAGGTTCTAATACATAGAATGAATATTTTCTTGACTTAGGCATAGATTTTATAAAATATTTTGATTTGCATTTCAACAAAAGCTATAATTGCATTTTTATTCTTAAATCCTTTCCCTGAAACTAAATATGGTATTGATATATGAGCAGGTAAGTTATTTTGGTGGGTCTTGCAATGATTCCAAGGATTTCTGGTTAGCTGAGACATAACTTTGGGTGGATTCTGTCTGTGGGTTTCAGACAGCTTTATATGATTATCTGAGTTTTCTTCCAAAACCTGAAAAAAAAATCTCATTAAGCTAGAAAAGAATTTGGGGTAAAGAAAGGGATACCAGTATCTAAAACATAAACTTTCATGTTGCAAATATGATTAGGTAGCATCAGATAGTAATGGAAATGAATCTGCAGGCTGATATGAGTGTTGTGTAACTGTGTGCTAGACTGAACCTAGAATTTCTATTTGCTCTGTTTCTTGAACAGTCCATGATTTTAGTTCAAAACAGCAACATTTCCCCGTCTCAGTTTCTATATGCAGTTTGTATCAAAAGGTACTTTTTCAAATATCTCAAAACTAAGAATTCGGCAGCTTTGAGAAAGAGAGGAAAAGCCAGTTTCCCTGCTGTGCACACTTGGTAAAGATACCTTTTTGCTCCTTTAGTGTGCAAGGGTACATACTTCATGGAGAGAGATGCACAAGGGAGATATAACTGAAGCAGATCCATAACCAGTTGCCATTTTGCATGCTGCTCACACTATCCTCACACCCTACCTGAACCCCAAAACAGAGAACTGCTTTCAGTACTCTGCAAAACGAGTGTGCTGTTACAGCCCCTGCTCCAAAACAGTGTCACGAGCTGGTAGGTTGGCCTCTTCCATAGGAATTTAGTTTGGTTTTGTCAATTATCAATGCTGACTTTCTGATACTTTTCTTACCCTGTATCTTTAAAGATGACTTATTTGCAATCCATAATTATTTTCTTAAATCTCTTTTTATTTCAATGGTTTTAATGAATATATTCCAAAAAGTCCATAAAGCTCACTTTCATATTTCAATTTATATTAAAATTTATTCAAAGATAAGATCACCAGTATTATTGGGAAAGTCTATATAAGTAATAGAACTGACATTCCAGATCCACATGTAAGAACACCATCCCTGTATTATTTGCATAGGTTATAGCAATGTTTTTCTAAATACCGTTCCCTGCTTCCCTTTCTTTTAGTCTTTAATATACTAAATTTGTCTCTCTGGCAATGTTGTTTAGTACAAAAGACAAAATTTATCCCATTTCAACTTTAAAATAACCATTTTAAAAGGTGAACCAAAAAAATGATCTGATAGAGTCAAGGTACCCTGAATTAACATAAACCAACATATTTCATGAACTAAAAATCATCTTAATATCCTTGGGATCTCAGTGATATTTCCTTGGGCAATTTGGAAGTGAACTGAAATTAAGGAGTTGGATTATGGTACCTGCATCTATGTGTTCTCATAACTGAAAACTTAAACATCTAAACAAAAGTCATACTTTATGATTTCTCAATAGTTTAGTAACACCATGCTTTTTTTTTTTTTTTTTTTTTTTTTTTTGCTTTTTTTCCATAGCTGATGAAAGGTAAAGTATGGTAAACTGGATGCGTGTAACAAACATGGGTGGCTATAATGCATTTCCAGGATATGGCGTCTTGCCATTGACCACAGTCTCTTGGAACCAGATAAAGTCACTGAAATAGTTAACAGATGTTAGCCTTACTTGAAATATAAAAGTTCTATTGCTAAAATTATGCAGGGTCAGATGGAGATTTGGCTCTTTATCCATAACTTAACTGACTTGGCAAATGGAAAGTTGATATCCAGAGGCATAACACATAATATCAAGGCCACACACTCTGCACACTATGCGGGAGCTCATAAACTACTGACAATGTGTATACTGTGCTAAGCTAGCATGATTAAGTATTAACACAGTACGTGACACTTAGGGAAATCTGAGGTCAATATTCACATCTATTAAATTAAAAAGTCATCTCTACAAGAGCAAAAGATGAGACTTTTTTTTTCTTCCAAGTTCAAAAGGATGTCTACAAGTTTCATTACTCATCCTCCAATTATGATTTACCTGATGACTGGTATTGCTTACTATTGACGTCATAGTCTATTCAGTAATAATGTTTTTAAAAAGTTGTTCCTCTTTCTCCACCTTTGCCTATTACATTTCAAAATGAGTTGGCACTAATGATTTTCAGATGAATGTATGCTGCTGAAATGGATCTTCTTGATCTTAAGTCACAAATCCACTGATGTCAAGCACTGAAGGAGGCTTGTGCTACTTTAGAGTTTGTATTTTTATGCACAGCTTTGCATATAAAGTCACCAGCTTCCATTACTTTGTAGAGATCCACACCCTAGTGAGGAAAAGAAGAGACAGCAGAGGGAATGGGGCATTAGAAAGAAAAAAGACAAAACAGATCCCTTTAAATTTTATTAGTAATTAAATAACTATTTAAAATTTATAAACACTGTATTATTTTATTGACTTGGGGCAACATTTGTTTTCATGAATCATGTAGTCAATATTTAAGGTTGTTCTCCGTTATTGAGACATAGAATCTTACCCTCATATAATAATATGGGCTAGGCATGCCTGAATAACTCAGTGTAATTCAGGAGAATATCAGATTTATAGGAAGGACAATAATGGAATTAGAAAAGAGTTCACAAAATATCAGTAATAGAAATAAAAATGATAATGTCTTGGAGAAAGTTGTATATGAGATTTGAATTTGGAAAAAAAATAATCTCTTTAATATATAAGAAACAAATTTGATAACGCCATTTGGATTACAGGAAAGATGAATGTAGCTTTTTAATTCATTATTACCCATATGATGGTAAAGGGGTTAGTTGTAAGTTAGATAAAGTGAGGAAGTATTTAGTACACATCTGGAACTTCTTTGCCTGAGTGTGTACTGTCTGAAAACATAAAGAAGATCAGCAAAAGCTTGGGTAAATCCCTGGATGACAGACACGGTTGGGTATGAAGTCCAAGTTCAGGGCATACTCTTTATCTCTGGGCCTTGAAGAAGCAAAAGGTCACCATCAAAGTCTGCACCCAGAACTCTTCTGTCCTAGGAAGGGTCACAGCATTAAGTGGCTCAGCCACAGACTGGCCCTTGTGTAGCATTTTGTAAGCTTTTGTGTCCTCCCTTAACATGGACTAGCCACAGTGAGGGCTTACAATTAAACATGTCCAGTCTTCCTTGCTCTTAAGGAATAGTTTTAATCTTTATAGAAGTCTGAATTTTCTAAAACAGACAAGTGTAAATATTCATAAGGGTTTTCATAATAATTATCATCATTTTAGAAAATGGAGACTTTTTAAACACTTCTCTCTGAAATATTTAAAGCACCGTTTTCTTTGTAGTTTACTTCTCTTTTTCAAGAATTATCAAGAAAAACAGTTTGTAAAATAACACATTTAAGTGACTGTCATTATTTTTCTTTTATTGTAGAGCTGTTTTCAGGGTAGTTGTTTTCAGGAGTGAATTTGCTTTGGTATGAGAAATTTGGTTTTGTCATAGTAATGACTTCAAACAGTATTCATTAGGCACATTTTAGGTTAATCCAGTAATATTTAAATTTTGTAAAACTATCTTCATGTGTCTTTCATTTCTGAATGATATTCCACCAGGGTTCATAGGAAGATTTTGGTCATTAATGTTCCTATTTGCTTTCTAAGGATTCCATTTATAACTATTAACTATGGAATTCATTGATGTCATTCCAAAGAAGAATTTCATCTTGTTCCTTCTCTACCATTTTATTTGATTCACAAATATCCTCATGACACAACACAGCATTTATTCTTAAATCATTTATCAGGTGCCTAAACGTGTGTCATGCACTATGATTTGTTCTGGGGCTTTCAGAATCTGACATGGAATGTGGTTTCTGTCTTTAGGGAACTTCTGCTCCCTGATATAGAACCATAGGCAGAAAAATGTGTACTATAGTTTGAACCATGAAGATATGCTCAGGTGCTTATGAAGACAGAAGTGTGGAGCAACCAACTCATGAGGAAAAGGAATGGAGATAATGTGCCAGGGAAGGGTGCTAGGAGGGTTAAATCCTGATTTGGGTTTTATATGGAGAAAATGAGTCTTTGAGAGGAAGGAGGATATGTGGGGCACTACAGACAGAGAGAAAAGCAACATAAGATATCTAAAAAATAGCAGGGTACATATGGAGGACAGTGGACAAGCTTATCATGATGCTTATTGAGAAAAGCTAAAACATGACTTTGGAACTGAAAAAAAAAGTATAAATAGGCTGGATTATATGATAGAGCACAGTCTTGGTTTTTGAGGAAATAAGAATCCACTGATGGGTGTTCAAAGTACATTGTGGCATATTCACACTTGTATTTTAAGATAAAATGTTCTGATGACAACATGGAGGATAAATTACAAGGCAAGTCAGAAGCCATCATCAATGTAGGAGATCACTATTCAGGAAAGAAATAAGAGCCTACCCACATGTAGTCATGACAAGGACAGTAAGGAAGGTATAAACAGCCAAACTTAAAAGTCAAACTAGTGGTGCTTGGCAAATGATTGAGCCTGTGATTCATGGTGAGATTAGATTCTACAGAGAGCCTTGCCTTATGAGCTTGGACAACGGTTAAACAGTGGCTGCCACTCAATGCTATAATCCTTCTTAAAATTCTTAGAACCAGAGCGACTTATTTGCATTTGGACCCCACAGTTACATAACAGGACCTGACACATACTAAGCATCACTGAGTTTGATTCAGGATCTTTTTCTCTACAGCTTCTGTCATAGCCTTCTGATAGAAAGGATTAAGCTGGTTAGTAAATGAAATTGTACTTATTCCTAACCACAGAACATAAGCAATAGCTTTTGGTGTTTGTAGAAAACAGCTGTTGGTATTTGATAGTTTTTGGACTTTTATTATGTCACAGGCATTGAGTATGAAGCGGCTACAATAATTGCTATCTGCCTGTGCAGGATGTTGAACAGGTAAGCAGAGTCATGATACAGCCTTGTGTGGTGTGTTCCAAGGTGAAGATACAGAGGGTAGCAAGGAAGGACTAAGGAGAGGAGATTTCATTTCTTGGCCTAGGAGATGGACGTGGAGATGCTGGGAGAATACTTTCAGGATGAAGGTACCTTGCTTTCCAGCTGAAATGGAGTATGTGTCATAAGGCTATTCCAAGGGATGATAAATCATAAGGGGTGGAGGTGAGAAGCAGAATGTGGACAATAAGCAAGTTTGGTGCTGCAGGAACATTCATGTAATTAGGGTGAAAAAGAAGACAGACAGGAGGGGAGGGGGAAAATCTATTTAGTAATACAGTCCATGCTTTGCCATCTCAGAAAACAGTTTGGATTTGTATTCAATTGTGCATAGATTTTTTTTTTTGCCTTTTATATTCTTTCTTTTTAAAGACTGCCTTACATATTTATAGATTGTTATCAAGTATGTGGCAAAAAGGCATCAATTTTGGTGGATGTTACCACACAGCATGTGCCTTTTCAGGTGCTACTTGGAAAGGGACCATTCTTGCCATCAATGTCTCACATGCTAAATATTTCCAAGCTCCATTCCCTTACTGATCATTTGATCATTTGACCCTCACTGTTTTTTTTTTTTTTTTTCAGAAGCCCTCGTTGTCACTGTGAGACCATCTAGATCTCAGTTTCCTCCAAGGAAAGTATCCATACAAAACACGAAACTGCAAAATTCAACAATCATAACAGTCAAAGACACAGACTCTCACAAAGTGTGTAAAGTCATATCAGATCATACATGGAAAATTACTTTGGAGTTTATAAAACACTATAAAATGTGAAACAGTAGCACTATTGATGATTGGGCTATAGTGATAGTTATTTTATGAAACTGCTGGGGAAAAGAAAAGAACTCTATTATATTTTCCCACTGTGCATTTTAGCAAATAACAAATATGTAGTAAAACTTTGACCTCAACATTGCTTCCCAAATCTGAGAAGCATTTCAATTTGGAACTGGAAGTAACACGTGAGTATTGAAATATTGTTAAAGCAACTTACTGTATTGAGCCCCAGGCCATTAAGCATATATATCAAATCCTCAGTGGCTACATTCCCGGAAGCACCTTTTGCATAAGGGCAGCCACCTAATCCTGACACTGCGGAGTCCACCACGTTAATTCCCATCTGGAAAATAAACCAAAACACCTAAGGCTTCTGTGTGTAAATAGTTTCATTTCTATTCAACCTTGGCAAACAGCAAATAAACAACATTGAAGCATGTTATCCAAACATATTCACTTATCCACCTGCTGCTAGAACAGTCCCTGGGGTGTGCTTTTCTTTTCTGACTCATCTTGTCTCTTAGACCAACAGAAAGTCTGCTAAGGATCTCCAGAATTAAAAATCCTTTCAACAGAAATTAAAGTGGTATTATTTTTTATAATAGCCCAACTATAAATAGTAGAGCTTTATGAAGTGAAGGTTAATTCACTACCAGTTTTATATATTCTACAAATTTCTATCTTTATCATAAAAGCATTGCATAAACAACATTCAATAATTCCAACATCACAACTCAAAATCAAGGTATCTGAGAAGACCTGTAAGTGTGTGACAGAGCAGACATGGTGTTTGCAACAGGACTTTGGGGTTTTGTCACCCTTTCAGTTTGTGCGATTCTTACTGAAATATTATTCTGTAAGCAAAACTCTGCTCCTTCGGGAGAAGATAAGCAATATTTAAGAGGCAACACACACCACTAACAATAACACCAGCTCATTTATTGAGTTCTTACCTAGTGCTGAATATTAATCTTAACACCATATGTATCTTAGCTCTGCATTGTCAGAAAGTCTCATGAAGAAGAAGATATTTTGACTTTGTGTGTGTATGTGTTCCTGGGAATTGAACCCAAGTGTGCTTTAGCACTGAGCTACACCCCAGCCCATTTTTATTGTATTTTTGAGACAGAGTCTTGCTAAGTTGCCCAGGCTGTCCTAGAATTTGAGGTCTTCCTGCCTCAGCCACCCAAGTAACTAGGATTCAGGCAAGTGCTGCCATGCCCAATTTCAGAAGAAACTTTTGGATTACCAACCAAAAAACACAGAAAAACACATATAACAGGTACAGAGGGATTAAACAGTTGGCCCAAGGTCACTTTCTGCCAGGTGATGTACTCTGTCTGCAGAGAACTCTTACTCTGCCTTGAGTCATAGCCACTGGAAACATGCAAGGTGGTACCTGATTGTATGCTTGGGGACATAGAAGTGAAGATCTATGTGCTGGAGACACTGGAAGATGAGCACATACAGAAGGCCCTGGAGCTCAAATACTAATGACATGTGAAGAAGCAGGGCATGTATGTCATTTCTCTTGAAAGGTGATGATTTGATGGTCAGAAGTTACAGAAAGGAGTGACCTAATTCTTCACTCCTGAGCACTGTAGAAAAAGTAACATGACTTCATCTAAAATAAGAAGCTCCTTGAAGCAAAACTCTTGGCCAGCTGCCTCTTAAGTGGTTCTTAATCACAGAATTTGAATCACAGATTGCTGCTACATCCTCAGAGTTTCTGATTCAGGAGATCTTGGTTGGCACCTGGAAATTTTAATTTTTCAGAAGAAATATCCCAGCAACTGCTGATCCTCATTTCTTTTCTCCTCTCCCCTCCCTCCCTCCCTTCCTTCCATCCTTCCTTCCTTCCTTCCTTTCTCCATTTCTTTACCTTTATTTTAAAAATAAACTTTATATTTTTGGACACTTTTAGATCTTCAGAATACATGTGAAGACAGTACAGAAAATTATCATGTATTACTCACTCAGTTTCCTCCACTTTTACCATCTGTTAAAGAAAGCATTATGCAAGGATACTTGTTAAAGCCCAATGAGGAAGACTTCATTAAGCGTCATTGTGATAGCTACAGGATCCCTGCAATAGAGTTTTAGTGTGGGAGAGAGACACTGGGACCAACTCCAAATACAGCATGCACAAGTGGGAATTTATAGCTAAAGAGCAGGGAGAGGGGTCAATGAATGGAAAATTACTAAGAGGAAACAATAGGGGTAAAGGGGATTCTAACTAAACCAATCTAACAGGCTTTTTCTGAAAATAGGCAGAGTGATCAGTCATCAGGTGGGGGATGGTAGAAGATGAGAGACTTGATCAGATACAGAGGGTGATCAGATGTCAAGGGTTGGGGTTCTTGCTACACTGATTTAGCAAGGATTGCTAAAATTGGATTTTTGGAGCAATTACCCAGATGAACCTAGAAGAAAATTCAGAAATCTGACTAAAGTTTGGATACACAAAGAATCTGCCGAATTTTATATTATTATGGTATATTTGTCACAACCATTAAACAGATACAGAAATGTTATTATTAACATAAAGTAGATACATTATTCATATTTCTTTAGACATTTTGAAAGGAATTTCTAAGGCTGGGGTATGGCTCAGTAGTAGAGTGCTTGCCTAGTATGTGTAAGACCCTGGGTTTAATCCCCAGCCTCTCAAAAACAAAACAAAAAAATTTCTTAAGATATTTTTTAGCCAATGTCTTTTTCTATTCCAAATGCTTTTCAGGACACCACATTACATTAGTGGCCATATCTTCTCAGGCTCTGACTATTTTGAGTAGTACTAGAATATATTTTATACAGTGTGCTTCAATTTGGGTTACCTGATTTTATTTATTTTTTTTTCTCATTGCTAGACTGGAGATACAGAACCCTGGAGTGAAGACCACAGAGGTGAAGTATTATTCCCAAACATCATATCAAGGGTACATACTGTCGCCATGAGTAATGACTGCTAATATTAACCCTGATAACCTGACAGAGGTGACATTTGCCAAGTATCTACACTGCAAAGTCTCTCTCTCTCTCTCTCCCTTTTCATATTATACTCTTTGAAGAAAAAATAGTCACTGTGTGCAGTTTGCCCTTAAAGAATAAAGCATATCTACATAAATTATTTGGAATTCTTCTAAATGAGAGATTTGTCTATTTTGCCTCATTTATTTACTTTGAACCACTTTTCTAGTTTTCCTTAAAAGATTTAACAGGATGTTCACCAAGGCTCTTGAGGGTAGAACTACAGTTCAATCGGTCCTGGTATTATTGGGACCTAGGACAAGTTTACAAAAGATTGGTAGACCATTTTTGTACCTTCATTTTTCTCATTATATTCCTCAATATGGGAAAGCCTCAATAATTCTTTCCATTCCCCATAACCTTTCTCAAATAATGATCTGACAAGATCAATTATATGCAGGTTGTAATAACAAATTAGCTAATAAACTGGTCTACATAGAGTAATTTACATTTGATATGAAACAAAATAGTAAGAATAAAGAATTACACTATAGTGCCTGGCGCATGCCTGTAATCCCAAACGCTTAGGAGGCTGAGGTAGGAGGATTGCTAGTTCAAAGCCAGCCTCAGCAAAAGTGAGGCACTAAGCAACTTAGTGAGACCCTGTCTCTAAATAAAATACAAAATAGGTATGGGGATATGGCTCAGTGGTGGAGTGACTCTGAGTTCGATCCCTGGTAATTCCTGCCCCCCCAAAAAGAATTACACTCTAGAAGTAAAATTTGTGATATTATCTAGTGGTTGGAAAAGGCAGATATTGAGAAGTTGCTTCATCTGGGGGAGTCTGCCATGACATTTAATAATCAGGGCTTTTTTTTTCTTTCTTTTTTTTTTACATGTAGGTTAAAACTGATCTATTTAATAGAATTGAGTTTATTATCAAAGACATAAAAATTTCAGTAGTTCTCAATCCTGTCTACCTATTAGAATTACCTATGGCTCTTTAAAACTACCAATGGCAAAGCTTCTCCCCAAAGTAATTAAATCAGAATCTCTGTCTGTGTATGGGGCCAGGTACTAGCATTTCTTTAAAATTGTGCCTGATGATCTGTAGCTAAATTCTCTGGGGCAGAGGTTCTTATCTGTATCACCCTTTGATAGTCTCAGACATGAGTCAGCCTGAAGAAGTCAACCATGGCCTTCCATTTGTCCAGAACTGCCATCTTCCAGAAATTTGCCAAAACAATGAGCACAAAGGGAAAGAGGTGAGGCACCCAATACTTTGTTCTCTAGGACTTTCAGAAAACATGGAGTTGTTCCCTTGGCCACATATGTGAACATCTGCAAGAAGGTTATTATTGTAGACATCAAGGGAATGAATGCTGTTCAAAAATGAACCACACACAAATGTTTCCTGGGCAAAACTGGCAGTCTAAAATCTTATCCAGCATGCAGTTGGCACTGTTGTAAATAAACAAAGACAAGATTCCTGCCAAGAGAATTAACATGGCTATTGAGCACATGGAGCACTCTAAGAGCCCAAACAGCTTCCTGAAACACATGAAAGAAAACAATCAGAAAAAGAAGGAAGTGAAAGAAAAAGCTATCTGGGCTCAACAGAGTTCAGCCTGCTCCACCCAGCGAAGCACATTCTGTGAGACTCAATGGAGGGAGCCTGAGCTCCTAGAACCTACTCCCTATTAATCCATGGCATAGTGGGTATAAAAAAATAAAAGACCCCTGGACTGTGAAACAAAGCAAAAGACATTAACCATGGCCAGTCAACATTTCAAAGAGGTTTTTTGTCTGTTTTTATTTGTTTTTTTGAGTACCAAGGATTGAACTCAGGGGCACTCAACCACTGAACCACATCCCCAGCCCTATTTTGTATTTTCTTTAGAGACAGGGTCTCACTGAGTCGCTTAGTGCTTCGCCATTGCTGAGACTGGCTTTGAACTCTCTATCCTCCTTCCTCAGCCTCCTGAGCCACTGGGATTACAGGCATGCACCACCGCACCTGGCTCAAAGAGTTTATGAAAGAAGACCCTTAGATAGCAAAAGTCTGAGGAACTAGCATAATGGGTGAAAGATAGCTTCAGCCCACCAAGTGATGATTGACTCCTGGGATCTGGAATCCATGCATCATATCCATTTTCTCACTGCTGAGGATCAACACCCTGCAACTAACTACAGGAGACCCAGAAGGAAAATTGCTTTCCTTGTCAAAAAAGCATGTTTTTTTTTTATTCTCAGTTGACCTTTGGGGAAACAATGAAAAGCAAAAATCACTGTCCTATTTTGTAAATAAAGGCCCCAGTGACCTGTTGTTTGGGCAAAGGTGAAAGATTAATTCACAATAAAGCAACCAGTGTC